CTATGTGAGAGTGAAATATAGATTGCTGCCTTCTGAATGAGCCCACAACCTGGGCATGTGCCCTGACTGGGAATTGAATTAGCAATCTTTCTTTCGGTGCATGGCATAACACTCAACCAACTGAGCCACACTGGCCAAGGCAACCAACATTTATCTTCTAAGGATGGTGGTATTTGGCAAGAGCTGCAACTGGAGTTGAGGGATTATTAGAAGAATGAAGAGGGATAGGTCGTTATGTTTCTTTTAGTTGAAGACTTGGAGTTTAGCAGCTTTATTTCTAATGCAGAGGCCTAACAGAAGCGACAGCAGGCACAAAGCATGACTGGGAGAAACCAGTGCGCATTATGTCAGCTGCCCACTTTGTGGGAAAGCCCACAGCCTGGCCTCTTGGAGAGGTGGTACGTGGAGGAAGTGAGAGAGAGAGACCTCTAAGAGCTGTGTGGTGAAGTGGGGAAAAGACTGGACTAAGGTTAGGAGGCTTCTACCTGTGTAATGAGCAACTTTTACAAAACACCTGTCACACTTTGTGACACCTTCCTCCAGGGCTCAGCTCCCTCATCTGCTCTCGGGTAAGTGCTGCAGACCTGGGCCTGCTATCTCACACTGCCATTTGATGAGTAAGAGTGAGTCAAATTGTCACCTCCCCAACAGTAGACACATCTTTTTACAGCAAAATCCACCAGGTGCCATCTAGTCAGGGAGAAGTGGTGGGAAAAAGTGGAAGAGAAGCTCACCTGGCAACCAATTCGCCTATTTTCTCACATTTTGGTTTAGAAAGGGGAGCACCCTGAAGTGTTCTCATCATGTCTAGAGTGAAAGGTCAGGCAGAGTATTCACTGGAGTAGAGCACTCTGTTCCAATACACCTGCTCCCTCCTTTTTTTGTCTTCTTAAAACACACACACAAAACAAAACAAACAAAAAAACACACCACAATGGTTACTACTACCAATCAAAGAGAATTCTTTTTAATACCACACCCTGTCAGTATAGAAGAGACAGGGCAACACAATGCTAACATGGTACTGATGGAGAAGAAAGTACTTTTTTCCCTTCAAGGTAAACAATGTCGATGGAATGTGCTAGGACAGATGTAAGCTGTTTCTTTCTCTTTCTCTCCCTCCCTCTCCCTTTCCATCTCTCTTTCGCTCATTATTTGTTTATTTATCAAAAGAAAACATTCTCCATCAGTAAAACATTTTAGGACCTCAAGCTACATGGTCCGCAGCTACACTGTCTAAGGCAGGGGTCCTCAAACTTTTTAAACAGGGGGCCAGTTCACTGTCCCTCAGACCGTTGGAGGGCCGTGCTATAGTTTAAAGAAAAAAACTATGAACAAATTCCTATGCACACTGCACATATCTTATTTTGAAGTAAAAAAACAAAACGGGAACAAATACAATATTTGTATTTGCATGTGGCCTGCGGGCCATAGTTTGAGGACCCCTGGTCTAAGGCATTATATGTCAAGGACCAAGTCCAAGGCCATCCCAAGGACATCAGGCACAGAGAAGTAACTTCTGAAGCAGGGTCTGGCGGTAACATGGAAGCATACTCAGCAGACAAGCGCCATCCTTGTGAGATGTCAGGGAGCCAGTGTCCAGAGGGGAGGCTGGACTAAGGCCAATGCTCCAGAAAATTAACCCAACTAGTCACCATGAACTGCCCTTATTTTGCCTTCACTGCTATTCAAAGGGACCCAACGCAGTCACTGAAAGCAATTCCAAGAAATGGAGCTAAAAGAAAATTTTTTAAAGGCTTATAAAAAAGCATTTGAAGTGTGTAGACTTCCAAACTGAAATTCTGAATGGGACAGGATTTTTTATTTTTATTTTTTGCAGGGGGAGGAGGGGTGCATAATCTTGGTATGTTTGTTTAAAAAGAAATCAGTCACACCTCAAACACATCCATCAATAATCAGAAAGATAGCTAACACCTGACAGGAATTATTCATTTAAAATATCCTTTAAAATATGTCACAAGAATAAGCTTGACTGGTCCTCACCCATCCCCACCCTCTAACATAAACAAATAGTCTTTCTATTGAAGCCAATTTCTTGTTCTTGGAATCAGCTTTTTGAATTGTCAATTAGGCAAGATGAACTGATAACCTGACCATAAAATTTACCATTGTCAATAGCAAGTCAGGTAACTCTTACCAAAGAAATATTTCAAAATGTTTCTTGAGGGTGAATTCATCCATCTATGACACTGCAAGTCTTTCTCCTGTTCTGGGTCTGCTGAAGTGAATGGTACGCAAGAGGGACATTTCATTTGCCAATTAGATAGCACAGTCCATTTTAGAGTGAATCTATTCTTTTCTTTTCTTTCCTCCTTTCCTTTCTTTCTTGATTTTTGGACATTCCTAATCAAGTTCAAAGTATGTTTCCTTTGGATATAATTTTACAAATAGTTTTTGAGAACCTATATCAAAGTTCAAGTCATTTTGTAAACACAACATCATCAATGAAGCCGGGAGATCTTAGGTATAGTGATAGCAATGGTTTTAAAAGATCCGTGTGATTTTTATATTGTGTCATTCCAGGGATCTTCCTGAATGAGGCTTTAAGGAAGAGATTAACATGGAGAAAACCAGACTTTGAAAGTGGCAATCAGGCTGCCTTTAGTCTAACCTGTGAGGGAGGCAAAGGGGCCGAGGAGACCTCAGTCCCACCTGATACCACTGTTTTCTACTCCTCATCCCTGTGGACTTCACCAGGTCCCGCATTTTATTCAACTATAACCAAAAAATGGGGAGCAAAAAGGATGATGTAGAAGAAAATTGAAAACCCTAAGAGCCAACTATAATGAATATCTTAAACTAATGATGTATTTTATTTTATTTTTTTAAAATATATTTTATTGATTTTTTATAGAGAAGAAAGGGGAGGGATAGAGAGTTAGAAGCATCAATGAGAGAGAAACATCGATCAGCTGCCTCCTGCACACCCCCTACTGGGGATGTGCTCACAACCAAGGTACATGCCCTTGCCTGGAATCGAACCTGGGACCCTTGAGTCCGCAGGCCGATGCTCTATCCACTGAGCCAAACTGGTTAGAGCCTAATGATGTATTTTAATATTCTAGGAATTTAAATTTGTATTAACTGTTATTTGAATTAATGTCTGGTGTGTGTATTGAGAGAGTAATTGCTGAACTGGGGGAAGTGAGCTACAAAGACTTCAGCAATGGGTATTAGTGGCCAGTGGGCCAAGGGGTGTGAGGACCCCGAGGAGCAGATCTAAGAACTCCGAGGTTTCTCCAGAAAGGCTGACGGCATTTCACGCAGGTGTGCTGCTCTTCCCCACCTACAGCAAAGCCCAGACAAGCCCTGGGAGAAACGCACGGGGACCAGAAAATAAGCAGCAGTTCCTACATTCTTCAGTAACATCTCCCAAACCTTAAAAAGTGAAACTTTAAGAAAGCTCATTTTTGTATCTCCAAACCACCGAACTGTGAAATGGGATGAAATATTGATAGTTCCACATGACATTTCATGGGGAAAGCTTCTGTGTCACAACTACCAGTTCCATTGAATTCCCAGTGTGCCCTTGTCTTGACCCCCATGGCTGAGTGAGGTCTGCCCAGCCCAGAAACAGCGAAGTATGTGCTGACTGCTGTAAAAGCACCGAGCGGCCCTAGGACCAAACTCTGCTGCCTCTGAGTGACTTCTGAACTGGTGGCTGAAGTCAGAATTCTCCAGTGATTACCATAGATTATGACAACGGAAGTCACCATTCTGGGGTCCTTTTGGGCAGGAGTTTCCCTTTGGTTCTCCCTCCATTCAGCTTCCCTCACTCACTGTGTGCTGTACAATTTTGTTAGTCAGGGAGTAGTAATTCTGATCCAACCAGAAGCGTGTGTGATCAGGAGTAGGATGATCTAGACAATGGATGCCTACTGCTTGGGTGGAGGTGCTCCTGTGTTGCCTTTGAATGCCCTTTTTTTTTGGTTTGTTTTTTTGTTTATCATCACCTCAGGATATTTTTTTTCCATTGATTTTTAGAGACAGTGGAAGGGAGGGGGAGAAACAGAGAGAGAAACATCGATGTGAGACAGACACATTGACTGGTGGCCTCCCACACGTGCCTGGACCAGGGCTGGGGATTGAACCTGCAACCCAGGTACGTGCCCTTGACCAGAATTGAACCCGAGACCCTTCAGTCTGTGGGCCAGCCGATGCTCTATCCACTGAGCCAAACTGGCTAGGACAAATGTCCTTTGTTTTTGTTACTGCTGTCATCTATCACGTTAATTTTCTGGAAGAAGAAAATTAGCGGCCAATATTTTCTTCCAATAAAATCACTGGCATCAGTCTCTACCCCAAAATGAGGCTTGACCTTCAAAGTAGTGATGTCATTGCCACAAACTACTTTGAACCACTTCTTTGGCAACTGTTCTCCGTACCAATGAGATGAGAAAGACAAGTTTGTCACTTTATAGTCTTTTTTTTTTTTTTTAAGGAAAATGGCCTGGGCTGATTTCTTCTCTTACGATTAGCTATTGGTTGTTTTCAAAAATCGAATTCAGTTTTCCAGGAGAACAATGGCCACGATGGAAAATATTAAAACACTGCTAAAGGAGCTTAAAGTAGTTCCAGAAGAGGAATTGCATATGGGTTTTTGGCAGTGACCGTGAGCATTTTTGGCACAAGTATTTATTAGCCTCCCCAGTTGAGTGCCTTGAAGGGGCAATGTTCACGTGGGAGCATACCTCCCAGTACATTTGTTAAAATAAAATCAGCTTCATTACCTAATAATGTATATGACTTTGGGAGGAAACTCGGAGCCTCATATTTTATTTCTCCTCACCATACCGTTCAATTAGAGTGGGCTTCGTGGAAATTCTGATTCCACTGCCATCGCTGCTGCACTCAAGTATGCTTTTTGATGTCATGCTCTGAAATAAACAAAGTTGTTTGCTACAACTACCTACACACAAATTAGAAAATTATATGACAAGGCGTTTAATACAGCCTGCAGCTGGGACACAGGTTATTACCGAAAGTCGTTGTCGGCATGGTTTCTGGTTTTGCAGTAAAAGAAGATGACTTGAAAGGACTCAGTGGTTTTGATGCTCTTCTGGAATGAAAACATTCAGTGAGTGCAGAGCATCGGGCTGTCATTAATGTCAGCCATGCGAAAACACTGTCTCCAAGAACACTACCGTCATTTCCCTGCCGAGACCAGGACTTTCCACTCTCCAGCATTTCGGGCACTGGGCTGGTACTTTCCCAAAAGAGAACTTTTGGGCGATCCATTCTGGATACTCCAACACATAGAACACTTTTCAGTTCATAGGTGGCCTGAGGTTGCCAAAGTCATCCAATAATTTTGACAGGAAGATGTGTTCCTTTCTGAGAAATATTGAGAGTGAAGGATGAAATCCTCAAACTTCGGAAGGCAAGTGTAAATACTAAATTTAAAGGTACGAAATGTTGGTTCAATGTGGTGGACAAAAGTATACAACTATCGGAGTAGCTTTATATTACTTCCCTTGAACTTCTTGATATGTACAGTTTAGCATGGCCTTATTGACAAAGTAGACAAATTTCTGGTATTCTTGATATGTCTGATGCTGTGTAACACCTTTTATGTACTGTGTCTGTTGCCTGATTATGTTGTAAACAAGCAACAAAACACCATGCTTCATCCCAAAGTTATGAGGGTTGTAGAATGAAGCGCGCTGTGTGGGTGGAGTTAATGGTACAACATTAAACAACAGAGTTGCCCTGTATTTTCTTGCTCTGCAATCAACTGGTGCACAAGAGAGAAGAAAATAAAGCTGTTTTCTGAGGTAGGGAGTAAGCATTAGGAAGTGGTATTTGCTATCATATCACCAGGGTACTTTGTTGTTCCTGTTATTTTCCTCCCCCCATTCATGGTCCATGAATTAATTTAAGAAACAAACAAGGCATTCGGGAATAGGCTAAATATAAAACAGTATTTGCTCTACTCTTTGGTTTCAAACACTCTAAGAGAAAGATAACATTTTTTTTTTTTTTTTAAATCTCACTCAAGGATATGCTTTTATTGATTTTTTTTTTTTAAAGAGAGAGAAACATCGATTTGTTGTACCCTATATGCGCCCTGACTGAGGACCAAACCTGCAACCTAGGTAAGTGGCCTGATTGGGAATTGAACCTGCATGTAACCTTTTGATATACAGGAGGATGCTCCAACCAACTGAGCCACTCAACCAGGGAAATACCAAATTTTGGATAAGAAAATATTTTGTAATTTCCCAGGATGTCACATATTTGTCATACTTGCTGTAGTGGTAGTATGGCATTTTTAATATTACATTTTTATTGCAATGATTTTTAAATCTCCAAGTTGAGTTCTCACAAAGAGATTGCCTGAGTTGGGGAGGGTGGGACATCTGGTGATACACTTATGGTGATCTTTTAATTTCACTTATGTTCTATGCTTTCAAATTATAAACTGAAAATGCAATGTCACTTTCCATTCTCTCCTACCTCATTTTTAATATAAAAAATAAAAAAAATAAAATTCTATTTTATTATTTGTTTGTGAAGTAGCCACAAGTAAGATTCCAGGGTTTTTTCATAAGTGTATATTTTTCCCCAGCCATCAATTAAATCACAAAGACAATGCAGCTCATTTCATAAAACAAAATATAAGTGATTTTTGAAACTAAATGGCCAAAGGACATACTTGCTTATATTTGAGCTGCTTTTGACTCAGTAAAAAATACAGGAGAGGAACACCTAAGACTTGAAATCTTGATGGGAATTTTAATGTTTTAAGTTGTTCACACCCAACCCCAAACATAGTCATTTAAAAAAATAATGTTTAAAGTCATAAAACTTACAATTTAGGTATCATGATTTCCCCCTACACAGTATTCAACAAAAATACATTAAGAAACTTTGCTATAGAATGATATCTGGAAAATATCAACAGAAATGTTATCAATGATCAATCTTTCTCCCTTATACATTAAAGAGATTAAAACTATTGTCACCATACAATAAGCTTTCATTGGGAAAAAAAAATAATCTTTCTTAATGTTGTTTGTTTTCCTCAAGGGCAGTCGGAAAAAAAAATGAAAATGTGACTCAAAGGAGATGAAGAAGTCTAAATAATGCTACCTTAATTCTGAAATAATAAAAGTTCAAGCAATGAATGGCTGAATTCACACCTCAAATTACACCAAATACAGCCTTATAAAAATAAGTTTTCGTTTGTGTGAAATCATGACCACACTTAGAGAAAACAAAAGAAGCATTTTGCAGAACTGTGCCTGCTTTGCTGCTCTTTCTGCTAATGTAGATTGTGCAAAAGATTCATTGTGTGGACCACTTGCTCTTTGTTACACTCAGGCAACACCTTTAGAGGCAGACAAGAGAGCTATGCAGTAAGCAGTCCCTTTTCATCATTTAGATTTCTGCAAGGAGATTTCACATGATTCCATAAATGAAATAACTTAAGTAATAACTATAGCTCTGCAGGGAATATGCAACACATTAATATACCCAGGCAGAAGAGATCTATGCATATTTACTTTAAGCATTTGGAAATGGCTGGTGAGAGTGATTCAGTGCCCTAGCCTGTTGTCTTGATCATCTCATGCCTTTTAAGCAAAAGGAAATGTATACTGCATAATGGCTTTACCACTCTGACCTCAATGTGGAGTAAAATGACAGATAACAAGAAGTAGAAGCTGGTCACTTACACAAGAAAATGATTTGGATGCTTTGGCTCATTCTGGTCTCTGCTGAGTTACCCACATCCTTGTCAGCAGATGTGGCTGACAGTTAAAACCTGCTATTTCGAAGGCTTAAGATATTAAACACAATTTGGGCGTATGAAGAGTCACTTTTTCATTTCACAAGCAATCACAATGCGAGTCCATTGCCCACACTAGTTCTCCCCAGGAAGGGAAGTTGAAAGATCGATTGCCTTGCAACGAGCCTTGCTGGCCTTCTTCCTCCTCCGAAGCTCCTTAGCTTTAGACAGTCATGGCTTTTGTTTTGTTTAGCATGCTCTAAAGAGCTAAATGATCCTTTCAAATCACAGATTTCTGACCCTTAAGGACCTCTGAGATGACCCAATCAGACCCCTCTTTTTTTTTTTTAATTATTACTTTTTTTTAGCAACTGAGGCTCTGGGAGGTAAAGTGATTGTTTTGAGATTACCTAGCTGGGGTGAAACCCAGGAGCAGGGGCCTGTCTTTCTCAATCTCTATTCCCAGTGCCTAGCTCGGTGACTGACATACAGCAGGTGCTCCAAAGAAGTGGGTTAGGGGATCCTATCACCTGCTTCTAGCATGTACTAGTTAATCCCTAGCACCCTAGAGCAGCGGTTCTCAACCTGTGATCGAGACCCGTTTGGGGGTTGAATGACCCTTTCACAGGGGTCACCTAAATACATCCTGCATATCAGATATTTACATTACGATTCATAACAGTAGCAAAATTACAGTTATGAAGTAGCAACAAAAATAATTTTATGGCTGGGGGTCACCACAACATGAAGAACTATATTAAAGGGTCGCGGCATTAGGAAGGTTGAGAACCACTGCCCTAGAGGGAATGAAAGGGTTGTTAAAGCTATCCTAGACAGCCCTAAGCAAGTTTTTCTCCCAGTATGGAAACTCTGCGGCAAGAACCAAAATAACTTAAAGGATTCCTAATTTATCATAAAATGAAACAAACAAATAATAAGGTCAGTGGGGGCAAGCATTCTTTTCTGAACTACTTTTATGAGAACCTACAACCCAAAGATGCCAAAGGAATTCACAGGATTAGGAAAAAAAGGCCATGGGAGCTGAGGGAGGGGGAAGGGACACGCTCATGGAGAGAAAGATGGTAACTACTCTTCTGACATCAAGGGCTAGCCCAAAAGTAGTCCTCACATGGGCGCCCAGTGTGTGCTTAGATGTCAGGAGTAGCTTTAGAGATGGACAGATGGGAGCCTAAATGTTAAGTCGGCCACTTATTAGCTCAGAGATCATGGGCAAGTTATTTAACCTCTCCAGTCTATGATTTTCTAATCTGTACCATGGAGATAAGAGTAATTATTCCACAGGGTGTTATGAGGCTCAAATGCAAGAATACATCTAAGCAACTAGCTCAGTGCCTGGCACACAATGGTAGCCGCTATTGCTATTATTATTATATGAGCTATTGGTATTTTGACTTGATCTCAGATAATACTCAACAATCAAAGTTAATCTCCATCTGTTTTTCTGAACCAGAAATGACTGCTTTATCCTGGGATTATTTATAAGGTCAAGGTAGCAAGTGGGTGTCAGCTCATTTCCTAATTCAGATGGGTTTCCAGTGGATGTTTGGGATACTGGTTGAGATGCACTGTGCTGAAATTGATTTTGACATCTGCCAAGGGTGTGGGGCTGGCTTGCTGGTTCTAATATTAGAATTGGTAAGCCTCTGCTAGTGTCACAGAGCCTAACAGCTAAGTTAATATTATATAACAAAGCATAAAGAAATGGAAAGAATGGGCTAAGAGTCAAGTGGCCTGGGCTCTAATTCTAGCTCTGGAGCTAATATTGATTTGCCAATATTGATTTTGAAAATGTAAGTAAATACATATAGGGCAGGGCACTTGGCCTACAGGACGTCCTTGATGGTTATTTGTTGAGATCATCTGAAAGAAGAATAAAAGCCCAAGACTATCATACAGAAGTGTAATAGTTAAATATTTCCTGCCCTCATTCAAAAGTTTGACTCTTCCGATCAATGAGGAATATTTGTGAAAGGAGAAAAAAAGATTACAATATTTTTGGCACTAAAAAAAAAATCAGCTAATGCTTAGGGACGCTCCAAGAAAGATAAGACTGCTGAGAATATGGCAGCTCTTTAATAACCAAGGCACCATTTAAAAATAGCTGGAATTAATTACAGAGCTAATGACCCATTGAAAGGCTTATTTAAATACCAAAGCCAGCACTGAACAATCATGGAAAATATGGCTTAAGAGGGTTTTCGAGAGCAGAAACCAGGAACAGCAGTTGAAACAAAAAAACACATTATCCTAGAACACTAGCTACTTTGGTGAGAAACATTCAGGATGTGAAAATCCCCGGGGAGTTCTCATACTGGGTAAGAGAAGCCACCAGGATCGACAGAAAGACAAGGAGATGACACATACGGTCACAGTCACCTGCTTGGAAAAGAAAGGCCTCTATTCAGCATTCACGGGAGAGGGGGGCCCTTCCCAATCAGCCGCCCCCATCACCCAGGCTTTCTTCGCCCCTCCCACCCTGATTTTCCGACACACCTGTCCATTTTTAATGTGCCATAGGCTAACATGAAAACCTCCACAGAGA